AGCCTCCCAAGTAGTTGGGACTACAGGCACCTGCCACAGTGCCTGGCTATTTTGTTGTTGTTGTCATTGTTGTTTAGCAGGCTTGGGCTGGGCTTGATCCCACTAGTCACAGTGTGTGTGGCTGGCACCCTAACCACTGAGCTACGGGTGTCGAGCCCTCAGGTGAACATTTTAATTAGGTGGTTACATCCATTTAAAATTTTGCTTGTATGAACTTGCTCTGAATTTATAAATTAATTTGCTAGAATGGATATATTCATTATGTTGGGTCTTCTTATCCAGAAACATGGCATGCCTATTCTGGGGTTCTTTTTATACTCACCAGCACAGATTGGTTATTATATTCATACAGACCTTACATTTCTCTTTTTAATCTTATTTCTGAATAATATTCTTGCAAGTATTGTGAATGGTGCATAAGGATCTATTTCATTTTTCTTTTTAAGAGATGAAATCTTGCTATGCTGCCTTAGCTGGCCACAAACTATGGGGCTCAAGTGATCCACTTGCTTTAGCATCCCAAGTAGCTAAGACTGCAGGTACACCACCAGGCCTCATTCTGTATCCCCCCTTACATTTTCTAATTGCTTATTGCTGGTATATAAAAGTTGTTGACACTGATGTGTTGGTGTTGTGCCCAGCCTCCTTACTAAGTGTTCTCATTAGTTGTAATAGCATGCCAATAGTATCATAGGCTTCTTCTTGGTCCCCAAAAACCAAAAACCCGCCCCTTACTTATAAACAATGACAGCCTTGTCTCATTTCCTATCATGAATACTTTTTTTGTTGTTGTTGTTAGAGACAGAGTCTCACTTTATTGCCCTTGGTAGAGTGCTATGGTGTCACAGCTCACAGCAACCTCCAACTCCTGGGCTTAGGTGGTTCTCTTGCCTCAGCCTCCCAAGTAGCTGGGACTACAGGTGCCCACCACAATGCCTGGCTATTTTTTTTGTTGTTGTTGCAGTTTGGCTGGGGCCGGGTTCGAACCCACCACCCTCGGTATATGGGGCCAGTGCCCTACCCACTGAGCCACAGGCACTGTCTTATGAATTCTTTTTAACACTATATTTTGTCTTAGCAAAAACTTTTCGCCAAGTTTGTTTCCTGTGGATTTCTGATAGGTACATTTAATCAAGCCAAGAAGCTAAACTAAGGAAATTTCCTTCTATTTCTAGATTAAGAGTATCAAGAGGACAGCCCAGGTGATGGCTCACATCTGTAATCTCAGCACTCTGGGAGGTGGAGGCAGGAGGATCCCTGGAGCTTAGGAATTTGAGACCTTGTCTCTACTACAAATAGAAAAATTAAGGTGGTGCTGTGGTGGTCACCTGTAGTCCCTACTGGGGAGGGTGAAGCAGGAGGATCACTTGAACCCATGAGTTTAAGATTGCTGTGAGTTAGGTTGACAACCTGGCACTCTAGCCAGGGAAACACAGTGAGATTCGGTCTCCAAAAAAAAAAAAGAGTACCAGAGGACATTGAATTTAGCAAATGCTTTCACAGTATGTGAAGATGATCATATTATTCTTTAATCTGTTAATTTAGTGAGTTATAGTTACTGTTGACTCAATCTTGTGTAGACTGGTATGAATCCTACTTGCTATCTAGTTCATCTGTTTTATTTTTATTTTTTTGAGACAAGAGTTTCACTTGGTTGCCCCAGGCTAGAGTGCTGTGGAGTCATAGCTCACAGCAACCTCAAACTTTAATCCTCTTGCCTTAACCTCCCAAGGGGCCAGTATTACAGGCACTCACCACAATGCCTGGTTAATTTTTCTATTTTAGTAGCAACAGGATCTCACTATTGTTCAGGCTAATCTCAGACTCTTGAACAAGCAATCCAGCTGCCTTGACCTCCCAGAATGCTAGGATTATAAGCGTCAGCCTCCATGGTGGGCTTTGTTTTATTTTATAATTGAAATTTCAATTTCCAGAAGCTCTAAATGTTTTTCATAGCATCCTATTCTTTATGGACATCATATCCTTATGAAGTCCATAAAGATTGCTGCAGATCTTAATCATATTAATTTTAAAGTTTCTTTTATTTCTTCTAGTAGTTTTTGAACAGGTTAATTAACTTGTTTTAATTTCATGCCTCCTTTTATGTTATTGGTTTTCTTCCAAGGTGATGATTCTTAGCTGTCCATATTTATAAAGTTTGAAGTTCTTTCTTCAGCTAAATGACAATTCCAGTTCATTTTCCATGATCACAAATTCTGATTACCGGCACCTCTGGTGATTATAAAGGGGAGTTAGCAAGTCAAGGTAGCCAGGGAGAGATAATGTGGGCGGTTTAACTTTAGTTCCTCCTTCTAGTCATTTTGGATAATGCTCTTATTCTCCAATCTCAGAGTTACTAGAGTCAAAACTTCTATTTCAGAAAGCCACTTTTTTTAGCTTGGTAGCAAATTCCAGAACTAGATATCTGCTCCAAAGATGAACTGGATAGCTTAGCTGTTCTACTCTAATTGGCCCTTCAATAATCTGTGTTTTATTTTCTAGAAATTCCACATTATTCATTTTCTGGTTTTTTTTTTCTTTGGCCGGGGCTGGGTTTGAACCCACCATCTCCAGCATATGGGGCTGGCATCTTACTCCTTTGAGCCACAGGTGCCATCCCATTTTCTGGTTTTTCAACTCTGCTAATTTATTTTTAATATTCTCCAGTCATTTCAATGGGACTCTGGAACAGAGTATAAGAATGTGTTCTGTTATCCAGGTTAAGTCATAAGTTGTGGTTTGTAATCAGAATTAAAAAAAAAAAAAACAATCATCGCCTATCTTGCTGATCCTCTGAAAAATCAAGGGTTACTGTTTTTAGATTAGGAATTCTGTAAATGCCCACTTGAAATTAGACTGATTAGTGGATATAATACTGGATAGGCAAGCAAGAGTAATTTTTGATCCCTAGTAATTATGTGTGGATTTGAGATAGGATGATAAGTTCTTTGCTGTACAGTATCACATCTGACACTGTTAAGCTTGTTTGTTTTTAAAAGCCCTGTTTACTTACAGATTGTTTCTGTATACTCAGCAAGGGTACATAGTAATTTCTCAGTAAAGGAAATCACTTGTAATCTTCTCTAACCCAAAAGAAAATACTGTATTTCAATTAAGTGATATTACTTCAAGTATAGCATTGAAAGTTTAACACTTATATGAAGGTCTAAAATGGTACATGTTAAACAGCAAAATATCCATATTTATAGTTCTTGATAAAATAGTTTTAAAATTGATTGATAAAGACCTATGTAAAATATGGAAGAACTTTTAAAACTATAATTATTTGTATGTATGTCTTTTAAAAATCTGTGAGTGAAGAAAACCGAGGCTCTCAGGTATAAACTCATTTAACTTCCAACTTTTCCCACCTTCGTCTCCCTCCACACTTTAGCATCCTCTAATAGTACATACTAATTTTTATATATTTTGCAATGTGATCCATCTCTGATTTTTTTTCTTATCCATACTACTGTTTCCCAGACTAAGTTACTTACCTAACCATTTTGTACAGCAAGTATGTAGGTACCACATCAAGTTCATTGAGAAATGTAAGAATCGGGTGGCACCTGTGGCTCAGTGGGTAGGGCGCCAGCCCCATATGCCGAGGGTGGCAGGTTCAAACCCAGCCCCAGCCAAACCGCAACAAAATAAATAGCCGGGCGTTGTGGCGGGCGCCTGTAGTCCCAGCTACTCGGGAGGCTGAGGCAAGAGAAACACCTAGGAAAGAACTGATCCTATGCATGTGTTACCAGGGAGGGGTATGTAGTCCAGAGATGTGTTGTGTATATTCTTACATACTCTGCCTTTTAAAAACTCTACCCAGATTGGATAGGGGGGACAGATATACTTTCTCATAGTCTCTGTCTTTTGTACTTTTATTGTTCGTTGGCTTTCCTCTTGGCATCTTCCTTAAGAAGTTTTTTTTTTGAGACAGTCTCACGGTCATCATGGGTAGAGTGCTGCGGCATCATCATAACTCACCTCATCCTCTTGGGCTTAGGCAATCCTCTTGTCTTAGCCTCTCCAATAGCTGGGACTACAGGTGCCTGCCACTACACCCACCTAGTTTTTATATTTTTAGTAGAGAAAAGGTCTCGCTCTTGCTCAGGCTGGTCTCATCAATCTACTGGCCCCAGCCTCCCAGAGTGCTAGGATTACAGACGTGAGCCTCTTCTTCTTTTTTTTTTCTTGAGACAGAGCCTCAGCTATCGCCCTGGCCAACCTCCAACTCCTGGGCTCAAGTGATTCTCTTGCTTCATCCTCACAAGTAGCCGGGACTACAGGCACCTGCCACAACATCCGGCTATTTTTTGGTTGTAGTTGTCATTGTTCGGCAGGCCAGGGCGAGATTCAAACCCACCAGTTCTGGTGTATGTGGCTGGCACCTTAGCCACTTGAGCTACAGGCACTGAGCCACCAATTCCTTTCTTAACAGTGAAACAGATTACTGAGTAAGAGCATGGGTTCTGGTTCAAATCCCTGCCCTACCAATTATTTATAGTTGTGTGACTCTGGGCAAGTCATATAATATGTTCCCTCATACTCCTCAACTATAAAATAGGTATCATCACAGTTACCTATCTTAAAAGGTTACTGTAATCCATGAACATGGTTAAGCATCTAGGTACAAGTTTGCTGCTCTGGTTATGAATAAGGATGTCAATGGCTTCTGTCCATGATATATATATTTATTCCCACATTTAATCAAATGGTAAAACTATTCCTTCATCCCTTTCTATTCACCTTATCCTGCTTTGTTCTTTTCTTTTTTTCTCCCTCCAGAGGATATTTGTTCCATGAGGGTAAAAGCTTTGTTTTCTTCGCTGCTGAAAGTCACAGCACCCACAAATAGTATTGTTAAATTAGCCCCTCCACAAATACTTGTTAAATGAATTGTGCAGTGTGAAAGGAAAAATGCACCAAAAGTTTCGTTATAATAAAAAGTATACATAAATCTTCCTTTAATGGCTTCTAATCCTATATTTTAAGACAAGATATGTCATAATAAAAACATAAGAAAATTTATTAAAATTTAAAGGTAGAAACATAATTTCAAAAGATTTAGGCCTATGTCAGGAGTGATAATGCATGTTTTCTTGAAATTCCAAATCAGATCCATGAGTATCACCTTCAGAATGTTCTAGTGGACTGGATTTACTACTACTTGTCTTGGATGAAACAGTCACTATTCTACTTTCTTTCTTGACAGAAAGGTATTTTTTCAAAGACTCACTTTTAATTGGTTCATTAACCAAAGAACTCGTTTCTCTGATTCCGTTGCTTTTCCAGTTTACAGGAGAGTCAGACTGGGAATGCAGGTCCTTTCCAGGTTGTTTCTTAGCAGAGTGTTTTTTGGTATGTTCACCTGTTTTGGTCCTTTTTTCTGAAGATGATTTGCTATTTACGGAGACCTCCTCTTCTACTCTTTGACTTCCTGTTCCAGAAATCACATCTGCTAAAGGAGAATGTGTTCTAGCAATGAATCCTTCCAAAGACTCCTGCTGCTGCTCAGTGGCTGGGACTCCGACGTTGTCTGTGGAAGTTACTAAGGGCTCCTGAGTAGAAACTGGCACAGGGAAGGAGTCGAGAGGCAAAGGTATTCTAGCATCACTTGTAATTTTCTGAAACTAGAGGGAAAAACAAATATTCAGTGAACAAAGCCAATCATTAAAATGTAGAGTTACAAACTTCAATGTTACTCTATGATCTTACAATATTTTAGGATCTTTTTCTCCTTAATATCTTGACAAATGATTCCCAATTTGACTTAGCAATATCCAGGGTTAAGGCCACCACATTTTTAGATTTTTGTTTTACATAATTATTACCTATTTCTCTTATTCATTAAAAAAAAAAAAAAGAAAGAAACCCTATTTCCTAAGAAAATTAATTCTTTTCTATCTTCTATGAGTATCTAAGAAGTATCCAATTTGTAAATAGCCTGAGTTCTCAAGTTGTCAGTTACTGAGACCAGTCCAAGACCGGTTAAGATGAGAGGTGGGGATTCAGTGCCTGTGGCTCAGCGGTTAGGGTGCCAGCCATATACACCAGAGCTGGCGGCTCCAAATCCAGCCCAGGCCTGCCAAACAACAGAGACAACTACAACCAAAAAAATACCCAGGTGTTGTGGTGGGTGCCTGTGGTCCCAGCTACTTGAGAGGCTGAGGCAAGAGAATCTCTTAAGCCCAAGAGTTTGAGGTTGCTGTGAGCTGTGATGCCATGGCACTCTACCGACAGTGACATAGTGAGACTCTGTCTCAAAAAAAAAAAAAGAAGAAGATGGGAGGTGGGGGTTCCCAGTAAGGCCAGAGGAAACAGGGGCCTCCTGCAGTAAACAGGGTTTCCCCTCCCATTCTCACAACCAGGTGATTGCCTGTAATGTACGCTGCCTGTAAATTATGTCTACTTATTTTAAAAAATTATCTGTATCAGTACTTGTACCTTCATTAGTGTTCCTTCATTGTAAGCTGACTGCATACAAATAGAAACCTAGATGAAATATGAATAGAATAGACATTTATAAAATTTAAAATTGGGAGTATTTTCTCTAATCTTTCATTTCTTCACTGAGGATAGTCTGCTTTAAATTATAATTTTTCAAAAGAACTTACGGTTTCCTTATTTCTAACAATACAGCATCATGAAATGGGCACAAATTTACTAAGTTCAGACTTGGAAAGGACCCCAAATAGGCTCAGCCCCCAAGCATGTGGGCAGACAATTATTATTTTCTCTGAGTTAATAATTCTCTTTTTGCTAATCACTCTTAGAATCATTAAGTTCTAAGCAGTTCACTTACTTGGATATTTTGCATTTGTCCTATGGCATTCTGCTTTGCTTCTGGTTTTTCTTCTTCAAGTGCTTTCTTTTCTTCTCTAGGTAGACTACTAACAGTAGAATTCATCTGAGGAGGACCTAGTAAATGAAAATCTGACTGATCTATACCAGCCATTGTGGCAAGCTGCCCCAGCCTGGTCAAGAGAAGTAAAGGAGGAAAAGGCAAGGGTTACTACAATCACATAAGAACAGCTGAGGTTTCCCCAAACTTAGAATCATAAAATACTTCTACAAGCTTAAAAAGCCAATATTCTACTCCAGACCACACTTCCATCTGTCTCAATTTCTCACATCTCCCCATATTCCTGCTCTGGGACCACATCAAATCATCCAATCCTCTAAGCGCTCCCTCCCTTCCAACAATGGATTATATTCCCCTTGACTTTATTTTCTTACATATTACCTCTCCATTTAAACACTATCTCATTGAAGCTTCAACTTCTACCACTATACCTAGTGCCTCTCCCCTCCTTCCCCACCTCTCCTACAGTTTTCAAGGATGTGTTTGTTCCTTCCTTACCAAACCAACCCATTCACCCATAAAACAGCCCTCCGTCAATTATCTAAACTCTCTGTTGCCATCTTCTTTTAGCAAAAATCATTCCCAGTTGAGAACCATTGTCTTTTTCTACTGTGCAGGTTAACACCAATTTTAAGGTCTAGAAAAATAACTTTAATTCCAACTTACTGAATAAGCAAGATGAATAAAACAGAAAATTCCTATATATTCCTGAATATTTTCAATTAAAACCATATTCAATTCAGTCTTTACCAAGAATTATACCTACCAATTTATCTACAGTTTTTTTTAAGAGTGGGGTCTCCCTATGTTGCCCAGACTGACCTCAAACTCCTCAAGTAGTCCTCCCACCTTAGCCTACTTGGAACTATAGATACTAGTTACCACACCTGGCTACAGGTTACTCTTTTATAAGAGGGTCTCTATCGAGGCAGGCTTCCCATTTCTATTCCCTTTAAAATTAATTCCTCGTTGAAAAAAATCAAGGGATTACTTATAATTACACATTAAGTATGACTTGAGGACGCTATAAAGATTGCTCAAGTTCCTCAGCAAATGCCCATTAGAATCACAGAAGAAAGAATGCCATAGAGAGAAACAAACTAACCCAGCATCTTTAAGGAGGTCCAAGAAAGCATGGAACTTCTGAAAGGAATTCTCAATACTGCCCAAAACACCTTCATCATCCAGGATCATGCTTGTCAATGAGTGTGCATGAAGGGCTTCAGACAAAGAGAAATTTATATTTCTTAACTGGGCATTTTCATGTTCCAGCTATAAAAGAAGATTAAAAACATGTAACGTGACTTTTGTTCCTTATCATCAAAAGAAAAGTTTTTATGTGACCAAACTAAAACATTCAAAAACATAACTAATCTGTAGTTAATCTAACTCTCCACCAGTGAAGATGGTGACCATATCACATAACAACCATATCACATTAAGTTTAGTATACATGCTGCCAAGGTGAGCATACAACCATATCACATAATAATCAAAACCTAGAAACATTTGACAAAATTTCCTGCACAAGACTTAGGTAGTATACAAACATTATTTCATTAATGATCTTCTAAAAACATTACATTTATAACTGGTTAAGTTCATGATGAGTCATTCCATATTAAAAATTTAGCTATTTAAGATTTTTCTTAAATTAGAAAGTCAAAGAGTCTGATTTGAGCAAAGCCTATTAATACTACAGTTCTATTAAGGATTAATTTTGACCAGCATAATACTTAAAGTGTAGGTTTAAAAACCCTAAGTCATACCCTATTATTAGCTGTACAATTACCAATATTTCCCATTTGATCTCTTGAAAATATTTGCTCCCCTCCACACTCTTCCCTTTATCGACTATTTATCTAATCCACATAAATGCCCAACTCTAGCATTTCTTGGAAAGGTCATTTTGTTCGTGATGCTCCTTTGCCTTATATAATCAGATGCACAACATGTATCGAATGAGTAAATCTCTTCCTCATACTACACTACTACACTACACATACTACACATACTACTCATAATACACATACTACTCCAAAAATTCTTCCTTAAACTCACTCTGTAATGATATTTATAAAGAAGTTCCTAGCTTATGTCCTACGTTTATGCTTATTAGCCTAATTCAATCCTCATGGTATAGATTTTTATCTTTCATTGAATTCTCAGTAGTTTTCCATTATTCTACACTTATTCATTTTCCCAATTCACTGTCAGCAGGTAATCTCATCACCACATTTTATGTAATTGGCTATACAGTATAACCTAATGAATGCATTCTTGAAATTGAAGCATGATAAACAGAAAGTAGCTCCAGTCAAATAAAAGAACCAAAAAACCCAACAAACTACAATTTTATATTTTTAAAAACATGCTTTCTGGAATGAAGATCATATGGTCACTAAGTGTAAGTAAATACAAAGGTTAACACAGTACAACCAATTTGCAATATGCTACCCTTTCTCACTTTAAAGTTTATAAAGAGTATGCATGCACATGACTTAAAATCAAAGCAAAAACCAAAACTCTCGAAATACAACCCAACTTGTACTTACCTCACTAACTCGTTTATCAGCCTTAAGCCTTATCACTCTTTCCTCCTTTAGCTGCTTCAGGCACTCATCCAGTTTTTCCTAGTATGAAGTAATAAAGTAAATATTGTAACTGATTCACAATATGATCCCCAAAGTTCTTCAGCTATAGCTCTAAGTATTTAGGATGAGAGTCAGAAGTAAATCAGATAATCAGCATTGTAGTCTACTACTTATATACTATTAAACCACATTAGTGAAATCCATTATCAAAAACATACCAAATCAGTACGTGATAGATTTAAATCCCACTCTTTCCAAAACAGATTTGTTGACTACCCTTAAGAGGTGCATATAAATCATTATTCAGTCTGAAATTAAAAATTAAGGCCATGAAAAGAAAATTCTATTCTTATTTGTGAGCCCCTTATAATAGGAAGCCCCAGTAACATACCTGAATTAGATATTTGTAAATTAAAATGCCATTTTTTAGAAAGCAAATACTTTTAAAGCACTTTGTTACATGGCATGTACTGTTCCAAGGCATTTTTTTAGGTATTAACTAATTTAATCATCAAAACCCTACAAGGAAAGTATGATTATTAACTCCATGTAATTTTACAGATGAGAAAACTAAGGCGGAGACAAGGAGAGTAGCACACAAAGACCACATCATCAGTTACGTAGGAGAGCCAGACTTTGAATGCAGGTGCCACTCCTATTCAGCGAGGTGGTAATCTTCCTATTTAGCAAGGTCAATAAAATAGAATGGACAAGGGCAAAGTCTCATATGATTTTTAAGAACTAAGACTCTGAGGTTCTTGAATGTGGGGGACACATCTTGTGGTAAGCAGAAGCCTAAAATGGCCTACAAGGTCCTCTGGGGCTGGGGCACTTCCCTCCTATTAATCAACTAAACACTAATGTAGGTATTTGGGAAGGGAAGGGACTTTGCAGATATAACTAAAGTCTCCAAATCAAATGACCTCAAGATAGGGAGATTATCCTGGGGAGACATGGCCTAACCAAGCCACTAATAAAAAGGGACAGTGCTCTTTCTGAAAAAGATTTTAAGTAAAAAGGAATTAGAACCAAGGGAGATTCTCCATTCCTGGCTTTTAAGAAGTCAAGTACGATGCTGTAGCCAGGACTGCAATGCAAGAAGGGAGGCCCCTGGTAGCTGACAGAGTCCCCTGCCTGAGAGCAAGGGAGGAAATGGAGACCTCAGTCCTACAACTGCTAGAACTGAATTATGCCAATAACCTAAATAAGTATTCTTCCCAGAGCCTCCAGATGATAACTCAGCTTGGCTGGCACTTGACTTTAGCTTTATGAGACTCTGAGCAGAGAAGCCCATTATGTCCTGCCCAGATTTCTGACCTACAGCACTGTAAGCTAAAAAAATAAGTGTTGTTTTAAGCCACTAAGTTTGTAGTAATAGAAGAATTAATACACTACTCAACTCCAGGTTCATAACCAAAATAAACCATTGTTATAAGCTACTGTTTTGGGATAATTTCTTATGCAGCAGTAAACAGAACTCCTACCCTACTAAAACTGCAAGATACATTCATATATTTTAAAGGCTTCTGAACACTCCCTGTAAGAATTTCAAGGTAAAGTTTAGTTTAACTCTGGTGTGTATGCACATGTATTGAAGGGAGGAACTCTACAACATACTGACATTAAGAGAGAAAACTGGTACCACTTTCTGGAGTATTATTTAGTAAACATTTTATGTCTGGGAATTTGACCTAAGGAAATCATCAAAGATGTGGGCAATGATTTATTTACAAACATAATGCCATAGGGCCATTTATAACTAAACCCTACAAGTGGGTCGGCGCCTGTGGCTCAAGCAGCTAAGGCGCCAGCCACATACACCTAAGGTGGCGGGTTCGAATCCCCAGCCCGGCCCGCCAAACAACAATGATGGCTGCAACCAAAAAATGGCCAGGCACTGTGGCGGGCGCCTGTAGTCCCAGCTACTTGGGAGGCTGAGGCAGGAGACTCGCTTGAGCCCAGGAGGTTGCTGTGAGCGTGATGCCATGGCACTCTACCCAGGGGGATAGCTTGAGGCTCCGTCTCAAAAAAAAAAAAACCCTACAAGTGAGCTAAAAGCTCCCAAATTGTGATTGCTTTAAATAAAAATAGCATATCCATGTGAAGGAATGCTCTAGATTATAAAACATCCAGGTGTATGTACATGCAGAGCTGGTTTTTACTTTCCTTAGTATGTTTCTCACTGTATGCAAAAAGTTCCTCGGTGGGCATATATTTTATACTGTTTGAAAAGCTAGTAAATGCTGTAGTATCTTAAAATTCTTCAATGTTTCATTATCAATTAAAGCCAACCAATGTTTCATGGGAAAAAAGAAAAAGAAATTGTAAAATTCCTTTACTTATTATTTACATGATAATTTTAGGTGTTTTTTTTTTTTTGGCCAGGGCTAGGTTTGAACCTGCCACCTCTGGCATATGGGCCCGGTGCCCTACTTCTTTGAGCCACAGGCGCCACCCTGCATGATAATTTTAATATTTAGAACTGATATCAGAGAAATTCTAAACAAACACGCAAACAAAAAACTCTCATCACAACTGGCAAAAGGAGACTAAAATGTATTTCATTCTTGACTGGTTCTAAACAGCACATCAAAGTGGAATTACATGAAGTAGTTTGTCCTACTCAAGGGGAGGGAGTTAGAGTATGTTCTTTCTATAAAAAAGCATCTCCTCTATTACTCCTTAAAGGAAAAAAAAAAAAGAATCAAACAATTAGTAAAATCTCAATATCCCGCTAATATAACTAAAGATAATATTTTAGAGTAATTTTCCTTCCTCACATCTGTTCCCCCTCCTCCCTTCTATACACTGGCAAGTTGATTTTTTCTGGAACATAGTTCTATATATTCCTCTCTCTTTCTCTCTCTCTCTATATATATATGTTTCCTATATACCAAATTTTATCCTGTACAGTTGAGCCTTGAACAAGGGCCCACTTATACGTGAATTTCTTTTATCAAATGCAGCTCAAAAATACAGTATTCACAGGATGCAAAACCCACATCTATGGAGGACCAACTTTTCATATAAGTGGATTCCACAGGGCCAACTGTGGGATTTGAGTATATGCGGATTTAGTATACACAAGGATCCTGGAACCCACCGCCATGTACTAGCTTTGATCTTCTTCTAGCTCCTTGTCCACCTTCCAAACTTAGCTTTTACAATATCAAAGTTAATATTTATAAGTATTCTATTTAATGTGCAGAGTTAAGCTGTTTTTGAGAAATAGTATTGATTGGTTTTATGAGAACCGGCAGAAAGCCTGAGCTCAAATCCCTGATCCAATCCTAAATTAGGTACAGTGTGGGCAAGTTCCTTCCCTGTCATAACTTCCTTTTCTGAAATGTGGGAATGGTATTAACACCTACCACATAAGGTCACTCTGAGGATTAAGTGAATTAATATACGCAAAACACTTAGGACTGTGCTTAGCATGTAAGTCCAATATAAGTTAGTTATTGCTATTTTATGCAAATTGATAATAACAGCTACAAACCAAATAGTATTTTCATTTTTATTAAAGTCTACTGCTGAGTTACACTGTGTCTCTGCATACAGATTACATCACTGTTTACAGTTTCAGGGCCATAGTCCTTGAGTAAGGTGAACAGGCATTTCTAATTGCCCTGAGTGTTCCAAGTTACACCCCCTGTTATGACGTCAGCATAGCTAGCACCTCTTTACACTACTAAAGTGATCTGCTTTGTTCAATGAATTAGGTATCACCTACTGCTGTGCCACTGAAAAGGGGGTAAGTTCAAGTAGATTCTTCCCTTTTGTACACCGGGGTAGCACAAAAATCTGCCATAGGTTAAACTGCTTTATGTTTGTGCCAAAGAGCTTTCTCTCCTCTCTGGAGTTTGATCCTTCCTCTCCCCTATTTTTTACCTCTCTCTTCTCCCTTCCCTTCTAATAGTACTTACTACCCAGTAATATGCTTCAAGGTTTTTCAAAGCTCTCAAACTTGAACATTACCTTAGAATTGAAAACAATGTAACCTAAACATCTGTAACTGCATATTAATTTGAAATTTAAAAAAAATTCTCAATCACACAATCAGCGCAAGCCTCAAATCCAGACTGGTTGCTCTCTGCATTGAATCCACTGGTTCCCTAAAACCCTATTATCTTCCTTCTTGGTTTATTTCCTCATTTTGCTGGATTATGTTTTCAAATAACAAGAAAAGTTGTAGCATAGGCAATAAACTCCCAAATTTGTTTATGTACAAAATATACTATTCAGCCCCTATGGACAACTGATTGACTAGACATGAAATGCTTTCCAGGATTCACTGTAGCTGATGAGAAGTATGTCTCATTTTTATTCTTTTTTTGGGTGGCCAGTATTTTTCGTTCTGGAATTTCTCTCTTTTCTCATTACTGTGAAATTTCACTGTGAAGAGTGTCTATTTCATCTTCCTCAACACATGGGTAGCCCTTTCCAATCTGTGGGCTGATGTCTACTTTCAGCTAAGGGAAATATACTTATCTGTTTTTTGTTTTTTTTATAATTTCTTTCCATCCATTTTTCCCCTGTCCTCTCTGATACTTCTAGTGACATGATAGACCTCTCTGATCAGTCTCTATCCCCTATCATTTCAGTCATGTTTTCCATTTCTTTCTCTTCTGTCTACCGAGAAATTTCCTTAATCTCTACTAAATTTATTTCAACAATCATACTTTAATTTCTAAGAGATCATTTTTGCTTTCTGGTAATTTCTTTATAAACAACATCCAATTCTTATTCTATAGACACTATATCTTTTTAAACCTCTCTAAGGATGCTAAGTAGGATGTTTCCTTAAAGTATTTTTATTCTCTTAATTACCTTCGGTCCCACCAAGACCTATTTTAATCTTTTTTTTTCTTGTCATGTTGTGAGTTCTTCAACTATTGGGTGAACCCTGGTTATTTTCCATTTAATAAGACAGCAGAAGCTCTGTGATGACTGGCTTCTCTTATGCATGAAGAAGTGGTCAGGATATTCCCATAGTAGCTACCCTGGTTCCCTCAGATAGTTTACTGCTTTTCAAGGTCAAGTTATCTCATTCCAGGAGGGTGAAGGTGGGGCTGAGAGCCAATTCTTCCATATAAAAATTGTCAATAAGCTCTCTCTAGTCACACTTCTTATCCCCACCCTCTCTCCTACAGGCACATCTGAGTAGGAAGATATTTCAGCACTGAGGATTAGATTCAGTTTGAACTGTAGGCTGCCCTGTCCGTATTCTAAGTGATGGTTTTTCTGTTCTATTACTCTAGTTTCATTTATTTCCATTTGTCTTCTGTATTTAAAAAATGTGTTGATATCTCTTCTGTTTTCTTGATTGATATGGTTTACATATTTAGAAAATTTTAATACCATCGTTTTTGGGGTTCTCAAGATGGAGAAGAGTGGAGTGTTTTCAGTGCACGTTGAATCAGAAATTTCCTAGTTACACAGTTTCTAACCTTCTTGGTCTTCCCCAATGGTTATCACCACTTTTAAAAATATAATCGCCTAGTACTCTTCGTGAAATAAATGAACGCAACACATTTAAAAGGACAATGAATGCCAACTGGATTATCTAGGATTCTGTCTTTACTCTGCAACTTAGTAATAATCTACTTAGGTGCTATAAATTGTAAGTGCTCATTTATAAGACAAAAGGGGAAACTCTACATGATCTATAGATTTCTTCCTAACATTTTATAATTTTGTAAGTACTTATGTTAAAGTTTCTCTATATAAATATCAGTAATTTTAATTTAAAAAATGAAAATCTACCAAAATCTGGCTTTCTTGTCTGAAAATCAAATAGTGTGAAAAGATATACAAAATTAATCACATATTTCAAATTGCAAACATAAAAATTCTGTTCCATCCTTTATCATACACAATTACCATAAATATTACAAATATTTTATTTATTTATTTTTAAGTCTCAAGCTATTGCCCTGGGTATAGTGCCATGTTGTCACAACTCACAGCAATCCCAAACTCTTAGGCTTAAGCGATTCTTTTGCCTCAGCCTCCCAAGTAGCTGGGACTACAGGTGCTCACCACAATGCCTGGTTATATTTTGGTTGCAGCTGTCATTGTTGTTTGGCGGGCCCAGGCTGGATTCAAACCTGCCACCTCTGGTGTATGTGGTTGGTGCCCTAGCTGCTTGAGCTACAGGTGCCGAACCATACAAATATTTTAAAGAGAAATAAAGTTAGGCCAGGTGCAGTGGCTCACACCTATAATCCTAGTACTGCAGGAGGCTGAGCTCAGGAGTTCAAGACCAGTCTCAGCTAGATAAGACCCCATCACTAAAAATAGCTGGGCATTGTGGTGGTCACCTGTAGTCCCCTCAAGAGGCTGAGGCAAGAGAATCACTTGAGCCCAAGAGTTCAAGGTTGCTGTCAGCTAAGATGCCACAGTACTTTACCAAGGATGACAAAGTAAGATCTTATCTCGAAATAAATTAAGTAAAACTTAGAAAGCCTTAAAAAAAAAAAGTCAAACAGTGATTCTGACAGTCATATAAAAATGAATAACTGCCTTTCTACCATATAACGACATAGTGAAAAGGTGCCATCTGTGAAACAGAAATTGGGCCCTTACTAAACTAGCAATTTGCTGGAAACCTGTTTGATCTACTGTGTTTCCCTGAAAATAAGACACTGTCTTATATTTATTTTTTCTCAAGAAGACACACTAGGGCTTATTTTTAGGGGATGTCTTGTTTTTATTAAGTATAATACAACAATCTACATTTATTCAAATACAGTTAAGTCATCTTCTTTTGGGACCTGACAGTGGGAGCCGATCTTGTTGGTGGGGCTGGTGCTAGTGACACATGAACTCCTTTTCCCAAGCCATTCGCACGTGCACAATAGGATGCCTGCCACCGCAAATGCAAATGGCTCGGAGAAAGGAGCTGTGGTAGATAAAAGGTATTCCAGTCTTCCTTACCAGTTCAGTGTGAAATGCAGGGCGTGGCTATGACTGTATAGCCACACCCATCACTAGGTCTTATTATGGGGTAGGGCTTATATTTAACAAATGCATACAAATCCTGCTACGGCTTATTTTTGGGGTAGGTCTTATTTTTGGAGAAACACGGTAGGACTCTTTGGCCTCCAGAATGATGAGAAATAAATGTGTGTTTTTTATAACCCTAACTCCCCCCACCTCAAAAAGAAAGGAGATAACTATTACCAATTTCTAAGTTTTATGCTAAAAGAAAAATTACTTTTAAAAATTAAATGTGGACTTTGTAGTATATACGAAAAAGACAAAGCATTCCAAACTAGTGTTTCCCTTACTATGATTATATCATCTATGCATTAAATTTGAATTAAAATAAAATACAGTATTTTTGAGGTGTAAAAATTTGTTTAAATATAGATTTTTCTTTTCTGTCCATACAAACACAGAAGTATAGAATGACTTTAGATGTCTGGTTCATAAAGCAATGTAATGAAGCTCCTTGAAATTTTTTCTTTTGTGAAAAGAAAACATCAATATCAATTTTTTTTCAACTTTACTTTGAATAGAAACAAAGTTATAGGGGGGCATCTGTGGCTCAAAGGAGTAGGGCGCCTGCCCCATTTGCCAGAGGTGGCAGGTTCAAACCCAGCTCCGGCCAAAAACTACAAAAAAACCCAAAACAAAACACAAAGTTATAGGCTGAGTGTGGTGGCTCACGTCTGCTGAGTGTGGTGGCTCACGTCTATAACCCTAGCACTCTGGGAGGCCAAGAAGGACAGACTGCCTGAGCTTAGGAGTTTGAGACCAGTCTGAGTGTAAGCAAGACCCAGTCTCTATTAAAAACAGAAAAACTAGCCAGGTATCGTGGTGGGTGCCTGTAGTCCTAGCTATTTGGGAGGCTGAGGCAAGAGAATCCCTTGAGCCCAAGAGTTTGAAATTGCTGTGAGCTATGATGCCATGGCACTTTACCCACGGCATAGAGTGAGAGTTTATCTCAAAAAACAAACAAATAAAAAAAAGTTACATTTTCTTCTTATAAAAAGGAATTTAATCTGGGCAAGATGCTGAGTATCTGTAGTCACAGCTACTCCCGAGGCTGAGATGGGAGGATTGTTTGAATCAGCCTGGGCAACCCAGTGAGATCTGGTCTCTAAAATAAAAATGAAAATAAAAACAAATATATTTATAAGGAATATATATATATATATAAATAATTTTTTAAAAAGAAAGCTCAGCTATAACCATTCATTTCCTAGTCCATAAAAAGAGCCCTGAATTAGATGACTATATTCATTTAGAACTCAATTTCTTTGAATATATCTTACAATACTTTTAAGTTTTTTTAAATCTAGTATTTTATGGTTCTAAAAATATAAAAATATGCTACTGATGACTTTTTTTTGAGACAAAGTCTCACTTTGTCACCCTTGGTAGAGTACCATGGTGTCACAGGTCACAACAACCTCAAACTCTTGGGCTCAAGAGATTCTCTTGCCTCAGCTCCCAAGTAGCTGGGAACTATAAGCACCTGCCACAACACCTGGCTATTTTTAGAGATGAGGTCTTGCTCTGGCTCAGGCTAGTCTTGAATCTGTGAGCTCAGACAATCCACCTACCTCTGCCTCCCAGAGTGCCAGGATTCAGGCATCAGTCACCACACCCAGCCATTGATGACATGTTCTGATTTTATTTCTTAGGGTTCAAATGTCCCCCTTTCACCTTGTTCTAAGATAATGAGCCAGTCAAGGGGATACAAGATAAAAGGGAGGGGAAAACAGAATCCTCAAGCAAGCTGTCCAGTGTCAATTCATAATTAAGCTTCCACCAAATACTAAATACAGTTTGAAGTAATCCTCTCTGCACCTTTAAAGTGACAGCTCTGTACCTGTAATGCTTCTTGTACCTGTAACACTCCTTGTTCTAAACTGGTTTTCTCAGGCACTTCATGAACACTTTCTGAAGAATCGTCAACCTCTTCAATTTCTGAGGATGAAGGACTCTCCACTGTCACAGTCACAGGAAAACCTGGTTGCTTAAAGAGGACAAGATTGCATAAATAACAATATAAACCAAATACCAACTATTAATAAATCTAAGCAAAAGTGATCTTTCTGAAGTATCATTATCTACAAATGTCTTTCACTACTCCTTAGCCTTAAGCAATTAAAAACAAAGTAAAAAGACACTATTCTTACTATGTCAAAATACAGAATTCTGCCATACATAGTTATGATTAATATTTGGGATCACTCATATTATTTTGTTAAATTTCTTTCACATAAACCAAGTGAGGAGCCAGGGTAAACATTTTTTTCTCAGATCAGCTTTATAATACAGATGAAAAACTTATTCTCTACCATCAGATACAAAGAGTCAAGAAGGAAGTATAATTTCTCATGCCTTCAACAAGAAAAGTAAGAATTATGATAATCAGAAAGTCAATGAAGCTAAAGTGGGAATGATAAAAACTAGAATTGTTTTTAATAAATTGTGTACATTTACACACATACAACTAAAACTTATACAAGAGAAATCTCAACTTTTCCTCATGCTTAAGCCACAACTAGTGAAATAACAACAATTCTTTGGCCACGTTTTATTGCCACTGGAATGTTGTTCAACATGTTTCCAAACATTTAATAGTTGACCTGTGAACCTTATATGAAAATAAAATTACAGCATTCATAAATATTTATTCGATCACAAAAAGAAAATAATGGACTTGGTCACAATACCATAAAAAGTCTACAGATCAAAAAGAAGAATGCTGGGGTTATATAACTGTATAGAAGACAAGTCACCAGGATAAAATTTCTACCATAAGCAGCAAGTAGCACTCAAGGGGCAACACTGTCAGAGGGTGGACCTCTCTCGACCTCAGTTGTGCTGTCTTTACAGAGAAATCAGTCTCCCAGGACAACTGGGAAGGAAATCCTGATACTATGACAGAATTAATTTGTTCCAACACTGCAAGGCACTATGACAGGAAGAGAAGCTCTGAAAAAGCAGAGGCTTTGGGATTGGATGCTTCGTTTTGGCTTTAGGATCTCGAAATTATACACTCATACACACACACACACAAGGATGTACAAGGTCAGACAATTAAGTTCATGAACTCATCCTACAAAAAGTGCTGCATATCTTATTACTGAATATCACTATCATCACTTTCGTCTACCGTCTATGCCTTGGGAAGCTGTGTACTGATGCCAGGGCATAGTCTACTTTTCAAAGAATTTTGAAACTCTTTCTGGAATGACCATCAGAGTTGTCACTGTACAAGGGCTGACAACTAAGTTCATGAACTCATCCTAGGCAAAGTGCTACATATCTCCTAAATATCACTACAATCACCTTTGAAGTACTCCCCTCAGCCATCTGGTGACCACAGTGATATTCAGCAATGAAGTATGTAGCACATTTTCTAGGATAAGTTTGTGAACATAATTGTCTGGCCCTGTATATCCATATAATGATATATATATATGTATCTCCCCAAAACATTACTTAAAAAATTAAGGCCATTCTTGACTATGATAGCTCCATGTGTCAGTTCAGAAATAGTAGTCAAATTTGCTTCACAGGGCTACAGTTGATTCATGGAAGAAATGGCTTCCTTGCCTCCATATAGAACCATAGGCCCCCACTGTGCAATATAACCCCACAATTATACCACAGTAATGGGACAGCACCTGGACTAAATGGATTTATTTCAGGAAGGAAAATGTTTCCTGTAAGGCTCTGTTCAATTTAAAAAGCATTGAGGGTCTTTAATACTGTAAGCCTAGCACTCTGGGTAGCCAAGATGGGTAGATCGCTTGAGCTTATGATTTCTGAGACCAGCCTTAGCAAGAGCAAGACTCTGTCCCTACTAAAAAAACAGAAAAAAAAAAAAGGCAAAACAAAACAAAGCAAAAAAACTAGCCAGTGTTGTGGCAGACACCTATAGTTCCAGCTACTTGGGAAGCTGAGGCAAGAAGATTGCACAAACCCAGCAGTTTGAGGTTGCTGAGATCTATGCCACTACGGCATCCTACCCAGAGCGAAAGAGTGAGACTCTGTCTCAAAAAATAAAAAATATAAAAAATAAAAAGCACTGAGAATGATTATCCCATCCTTCCCTCTCTATCCCACTACATATTAAATATAACTACATACCTGATTATCTATATCACGAGTTTTAATTGATGGAAAGCCCCTAAAGAGATAACAACAAATTAAGTTATATTTTGATATAAATACAATAGTTAATGTCAGTTAATAACTCTTATGAGTATACTATCCACATAGAACTGTGTATGGAAATAAATAACATCAAAATAAGGATATGGAAGCCTCTGCTATAGAGAAAATGGAACAGAATTTAGCAGAATGCTTTGTGATAATTCTCTGATCTGCCAAGAAACACATTTGGTTCCTATGTTCAGGATGGTTACAATTACCAATCTAATTTCTTTAACTGGTGATATTAATGGTTCTCTAATTTACAACTCCTCATGACTAAGATAAACTTGAAATTAATAAGTGTCTCAAGAAGATGATATGAAGCCACAAAGTTATAAAAGTAAAGTGTAAAGAGTAGGGCCTCGGCATTATAGTTTATACAATAACAGTTCATATTACAATCTGTAATAAGTTTAGTAGCCAGTTGCCTAATGAAGATTACACACATCAATTTAACATGATTAGCTGGACAGATATTTTACAGAGTACCTATTTGCTAGTCCTATTTAAAATCAAGTCTCTTTATCTTCTTAAGCAATTTTTAACCCCCAAATTCTTTAATACTACCAAGTTGTTCATTTGAGAATAATTTACAGTAACCTAATTCACTTATTAAGCCTCAAATAGTAACAATTTTAAAAGACTTTTATGACAAAAATAACTGAACAATCACTCCCTGGGTAAGTAATTGGCTAAAGCTAGTTAAATCTAGCTTCACTACGTATCATTCTCTGAAATGAGAGTTAGTCCAATTCAGTATGTTACATTAAATCTAATTCATGTGTCTTACCCATTTTGCACCAAAGTATTTCCCCTACTTAAAATGCCCCTTTCCACATTCCTACATATCCAAATTCCTACTTCTGTACTCTAGGGCTTAGTTTAACTACACATGCTTTAAATGAAACCTTTCTTCATCTACAGAATAGAGATCATTTTAGTTTTCTCTGGATTTTCACAGGGTTACAACTTGCTGTGACATCTAAGAAGTAACCTGAAAACCCTAATTATAATTATTTTTCGCTTTTCTTCCTTTAAAGACTCATGAGGCAGAAGCCATGTGAGTCTTCTTCCCCCTGCAGAAATAACCAGAGAACTCCCATATGACAAAAGCTCCAAAATAAAGAATTCTGAATGACTGAAATGAAAATACCTCTTCCTTTTTGCACGTTCTGCAGTGCGCCATGGCAAGAAACCAGACACACCAGGTGGTAGAGATATTGGAGTGTCTTGTTCATTCCCAAGGGAGTGTTTTCTTCCATTACTTATAGGTTTCTTTGTAGCCAATCCTGTGTGAAAAAGTGTTAAAAAGAAAGAATACAGATGCACTTGAAGTGTATAGACTAAGTGTCATGTGTGTCTGCTCTTAAAGGACTTCAGATGGGCACTTGACAACAATACAAGGCCATTAAAAACAGATATAAATTTATATTTTAAAAATATAAATTCTCAACACTGGCTGTGGTGACTCACACCTATAATCCCAGCACTCTGGGAAGCCAAGATGGGTGGACTATCTGAGCTCAGGAGTCTGAGACCAGCCTGAGCAAGAGTAAGATCTCATCTTCTTAAAAAAAAAAATAGCCAGGCATTGTGTAGTCCTGTAGTCCCAACTACTGGGGAGGCTGAGGCAAGGAGTTAGAGGTTGCTATCAGGTATGACGCCACGGCATTCTACCGAGGGTGACCAAGTGACTCTATGTCAAAAAAAAAAAAAAAAAAAAAAATATATATATATATACACACACACACACACACCCCCATATACACACACTCATATATACACATAAGTTCTCTAGAGCAAGAAGTTATCATTTTAACTAAAATACAGGTTGAATATATGAGACATGCAAAGCACACAAAAGTAAATAAAAGGTAATCTCAAATTATGAAAGATTAAACACGATACATTTTATTGTATATAATGCAGAAATATTCACTTTACTGAATCTTGGAACATCTTTGGCATTTTTGAATCTCAAACACAGATACATAGATACAGTCGCAACTTCTGCCAAAAAGAATCATCTGAATTAGACCAGAATTCAATTTGGGCTGAATTTTACTTTGGGAGTAAAAACTCCCAAAGGCTGAAGGTTATAAGTCTGTTGACCTTCAGTGCTATTTAGTATTATAGAAAACATAAGAAAAACAAATATAACCTAGTGAATAAAAGAATGAAATATAGAGACTTATTTCAATATTAAAGAGTCAAGTATTTTTATAGAAAATATTTGGTAGCAAAAGCTAGACCTACATATTAATATTTTATGTAGAACAAATCACATATTAAAATTTACATTTAAATATTTGTCTCTAATATACGTTTATTAAAATGGTTCTTTTTGGTGGTTTTTTTTTTTTTTTTAGACAGAGTCTCACTCTGCTGCCTTGGGTAGAGTACCATAGCATCATAGCTCACAGCAACCTCAAACTCTTGGGCTCAAGCGATCCTCTCGCCTCAGTTTTTCTATTTTTAGTAGAGATGGGTCTCCCTAATGCTTAGGCTGTCTCGATTTCCTGAGCTCAAGCAATCCACCCGCCTTGGCCTCTCACAGTGCTAGGATTACAGGTGTGAGCCACCACGCCCAATTGTATTAAAATGGCCATATTTACCCTTACAACCTGTTTTACTATGCAAGATCTACTTTAGCAGTATTATGATGGCATTTAAAACAAAATGCCCGTGGTAACACAGGACAAATATTTCATATACTGTAACTTCTTGATAATCATCACATGGTTCTGTGCAATTTCTCTGGACAAAGGCCTCTTAAAATACATAGAACCTCAGTTCACCTCATGTTATTTCATTTTTGTTTTTCAACTTAATTACCCTCGAAAGATGTTCCTGTGTATTATTTGCATTTATATAATTTCCCCTTTACTTTCAGAAACTAATGCAAATATATGTTTAATTAAAACCCACAGAATTTACATGTACATTATTAGATGAAAAAATTCTAATAAAAGTTCCTATCTTCTTTCTATAAACATAATTGCAATATAAATGGTGCACAATTTACATAAATTATGTAACCCTCTATACTCACTAAAATCTAGCTACTAGCCAGACACTGATTTGGCTTACCTCTATGTCTCCAAATAACTGAGGCAAACACAAACACACAAAAAAGCCCAAGAGATAAAATTATTCTTAAAATAGCTCAGTGAGCTTGTAAACATCAATCACATTTCCATTTTCTTTAATTATACTAAATACGAAAAAGTTTTGGTTTTTATTCTCATTCCATGGTATCCTGTTATATACCACCAACTACCAAAATCACAGAATTTCTAATATGGCTTATATATTATATTAAGTTTTACAGCATAACCATTTTTATGTGTGTAGGTCAATGATACTAAGTCAAGCAACAATTTTTTAAATTTTTAGGTAGCTTCTAAATAGGAGATTGTTTGCTGTGAACTGGTGATCTTCTTTTTTTTTGAGGCAGAGCCTTAAGCTGTCACCCTGGGTAGAGTGCTGTGGCATCACAGCTCACAGCAACCTCCAACTCCTGGGCTCAAGTGAGTCTCCTGCCTCAGCTTCCCAAGTAGCTGGGACCACAGGCACCCACCACAACGCCTGGCTATTTTTTTGGTTGCAGACGTCATTGTTATTTGGTGGGCCTGGGCTAGATTCAAACCCACCATCTTAGGTGTATGTGGCTGGCACCTTAGCCACTTACGCCATAGGTGCCAAGCCTTAACTGGTGATCTTAATATATTTGGTATATAACTAAAGTTACCACAAACCCTTTTCTGGGAAACTGGCAAACTTCAAAAATTTATTGTTTCTTCTATATTAGTCCTGGTTTTACTATTTCAAAATTCAAAGTCACTTATAAGTAAGGTGACCAGATTTTAACATTGGTAAAGCAGGACACCAGTGACGGTGGGGGGTGGGGGTGGGCGTGGGGGGTGGGGGGGTTCTTAATTAAAAATTTGGTCTATATGGAGCGACAAAAATTTTCATAGAATGCAAAAATAGTATTGTAATATATATTTTTAATTTCAACATAAGTACAACTTATAAATATAATACATTAAAAAAAATTATGTGTAGGGCAGAGCCTGTGGCTCAAATGAGTAGGGCACAGGTCCACCTGGGCTACATTAGTCAGGAGGAGAGTAGGGAGTTTACATTAGCCTTTTCATTTCCAAATGAAGTTACATTAACCTCTTCATTCCCAAATGGAGTTACATTAACCTTTTCAGCAGCTGAACCATATATTCCCTTCCCATTGTCCCACCACCGTTTCCTAGCTTGTTGTGCATTCTTTCTAAAAATCGGGACTTTTTTAAAACGCGGGAAAAATTGTTAAAAAGCGGGACATCTGGTCACCTTACTTATAAGGAAAGGTCAGTTTCACAATTATTACATTCTGCCATTCATTCTTATCATATAAAAAAGGTTATTTGTGACTAAAGGTAATGTCTTCTAGAAAATAAAAATTAAGGCCTTTTTAGAAATAATACGAAAATACCAAAACTATATTATAACAAGTTTGCATATTTAAGAGAATGTAAAATTCATGCTACTAGTTGCTGAAGAGTTTTTTCATTATACTTGGTCAGGAAACTACAGACTTAATTTTAACATTCTAGACTATCACTTGGAAGATTATTATTTTACAGGGATTATATATGTTTTAAGATTTTTTTTTTTATCATCAAAAGAAGCAAAGTGTTAGCATAAGGGGAAAAAAGGAACTGGGGAGAAATTTTGTTTCCTATAGCATGAAAGGATCATTCTTCATTTAAAAAAAAAAAAAAAAAAACAACACTTGGTCAGGTGCAGTGGCTCAGGCCCCAAATCTTATTTTTTTGAGACAGAGTCTTTCTTTGTTGCCCTGGGTAGAATACCGTGAAATCATAGCTTACAGCAACCTCAAACTCTTGGGCTCCCACAGTCCTCTTGCCTCAGTTTTTCATATTTAGTAGAGACAGGAGTCTCACTCTTGCTCAGGCTATTTATAAGCTAGTGCTCCACCCCGCCTTGGCCTCCCAGAGGGCTAGGATTATAGGTGTGAGCCACCACGCCGAGCCTCAGGTCTATAATCTTAAGCACTTTGGGAGGTGAAGGTAGCATTGCTTCAGGCTAGGAGTTCAAGATCAGCCTGGGCAATAGAGACTCCATATCTACAAAAAATGTTTCAAAAAACTTAGCCAGGAGTGGTGATGTGTATCTGTAGTTATCCCAGCTACTCATACTCAGGAGGCTAAGGCAGAAGGACTGCTTGAGCCCAAGAGTTTGAGGTTACAGTGAGCTATGATGATGCCACTGCACTCCCGTCTTCTCAACAGAGCAAGATCCCGTTTCAAATTAAAAAAAAAAAAAAATCACTGGAAACAACTACTAAAACTGTCATCCAAGTCTATCCCAGGCCCAGCATGGTGGCTCACAGCTGTAATCCCAGCACTCTGGGAGGCCAAGGTGGGTGGATTGCCTGAGTTCACAAGTTCGAGGCCAGCTTGAGCCAGAGCGAGACTGTCTTAACCAACTAGAAAAATGAGCCAGACTGGCTTGGTGCCTGTGGCTCAAGTGGCTAAGGCGCCAGCCACATACACCTAAGGTGGCAGGTTTGAATCCCCAGCCCGGGCCCGCCAAACAACAATGATGGGGGCAACCAAAAAATGGCCGGGTGTTGTGGCAGGCACCTGTAGTCCCAGCTACTTGGGAGGCGGAGGCAGGAGACTCGCTTGAGCCCAGGAGTTGGAGGTTGCTGTGAGCTGTGATGTCATAGCACTCTACCCAGGGGGATAGCTTGAGGCTCCGTCTAAAAAAAAAAAAAAAAATGAGCAATGAGCCAGACGTTGAGGCAGGTGCCTGTAGTCTTAGCTACTTAGGAGGTTGAGGCAAGTGGATCCCTTGAGCCCAAGAGTTGAGGTTGCTATGAGCTGTGATGCCACGGCACCCTACCCAGGGTCACAAAGTGAGACTCTTGTCTCAAAAATAAAAGGGAACCCAAATTTCAACTGCAAAGTATGAAAAGTAATCATCAACCAGGAAACATATTCAAAATAATGCATATTTTATGAAAAACAAACAATAAAGTTAATTTAAAAAACGGAAGTACTAGCGTTCCTTTCCTAATGATTCATTAATACTTCTATATTCCTTAAATTCTCACAATCACTAGAAGAACAATTATAGTCCTCAGAATATGCATGTGGTCAATACCTGTTCCTATTATTGATACCACAGAAAGAGAAGGGATTTTAATTTTAACATATTAGAACACATAATAAGCCAAGACAGAAAGGGTTACCAATTCTAATAGTAGCTTTTCCTTTTCGACCACTTCCTAGAATTATAGTTTTCTTTTTCTGTCTAGCAGTTTTGGATGATTCCTTCACTGACGGAGAAGTTATCCATTGGTACTAGAAGAGAGATAGTAAATATTCCATTTTAGTTACAAGCAATTTGAGATTCTGTTCTTAACTATTAACAGAAATTATTAAGATATCCTAAGTTAATAAAAGGTTTGCAATCAGTTCTGGGGCCCTAGATTAAAGAATCATACAATATTTTCAAAAACAGAAAAGCCATTTTATTTAACTGATAATGTTAAGACAGTAGGAAAGTACCTTAATTTTATTTTAATAAAAAGAGAAGAAGGGTCAGGCACAGTGGCATGCCCTTGTAATCCCAGCTACTCAGAAGGCTGAGGTGGGAAGATTCCTTTAGCCTAGGAGTTCAAGGCTAGCCTGAGCAATACAGCAAGACCCCATCTCTTTAAAAAACAAAAACAAACAATTAAAAAGAAATTCTTTCTAGAGGAATAAAACATGTTATACCTCTGACTTCGCACTCCTTCCATTCTGGAGAACTTTTTTGATAACTGCTTTCATCAGAGAATGATCTAAAGTAAAGTGAAAATTGAAAGTATAGTAATTGCTTCCCAATGAGCAGCTATTCCCACTTAAAATAAAAGCCAAGTGATTATTGCTTTTCCCATAAAATTAAATATGAAACATATGTGATTATATACCTATTTCCCTCTTTGAGTATTCTAACTTCTTCCTTAAAACCATAATATCAAAGTATGCCATTTTATATATGGCCCTCAATGGCTACCATTTTGGCAACAGTAAAGACTATATCTAAATACTTTGAAACTAGAAAGCTCTAGATACCTTTGGATAAAAAAACCAATATCCTAGACATTGTTCAGACACTTAAGATACCTAAAACACATCTAATTTAACCAAAGTCATGATATAGCTTGAAAGTTGCTCTTTCTTGCTCATATTCTCCTTTTCTCAGTAAATGGTACCACTCAGTTGTACACATAATAATTTAGGACTTTAGGGCAGCGCTTGTGGCTCAGTGAGTAGGGTGCCAGCCCCATATACCGAAGGTGGCAGGTTCAAACCCAGCCCTGGCCGAACAGCAACAAAAAAAATAGTCGGGCATTGTGGTGGGTGCCTGTAGTCCCAGGTACTTAGAAGGCTGAGGCAAGAGAATCGCCTAAGCCCAAGAGCTGGAGGTTGCTGTGAGCTGTGATGCCAGAGCACTCTACTGAGGGTGACAAAGTAAGACTGTCTCTAAAACAAAAAAGTAATAATAATTTAGGACTTTAAAAAAATTACTGCTTCCTTCATACCCCACATATAATCTATCTGCAAGTATTGTTAGCTATACCTTGCAAAAATTACCTGTCAAGTTAACAAATGAGAAATATCTTTCTAAGAATTCAGAGGTTCCACAAGAAAAAAGTAATGTTCTTTATGGAAAAAGATTTATTTTCCAGGTTCACTTCTATTCAGGGTAGCAGCCAAAAGCAAGGTACAAGTATAACCCATTTTAATTAGTAATTATCTGCTAAAAACATAAGGAAGTTCAAGATTAGAAAAGTATAAAATTGGGAAAGTAAATATATTAAGTTTTAAAAATTATCAATACATGAACAAATTCTTTTTATTTTGCTATTTGTTAGTCAATTAAAAAAACTGTGGTGACATACCAATAAGTGGATTTTTTCTTACATCCAGAATGACGAGAGTTCTATTGGTTTCAAGGGCTTTCAGTAAAGCCTTTGCTCCTTCATTGGTGAGGCCACACTGTTGCAGGTCAAGTGCTTTCGATGAAAAACAAAGGGTCACTTTCTACCTCTATTCAGATTTAACATACTCTCACTTATTTATCCTACCCAGGTTTTTAATCTTGGGTATTGAAAAAGTAAAAATAGAAAAGCATGTGCACACACACAATCCAAAATAAGAAAAAAAAGCCCTCTTCTTGTGTGTGCCATAATTATTCTCCCTTTCTGCCAATTAATTATCCAACATACTTGACTATTATGCAATCAAAAAGTAACTACATAATTTGAGAGAGAAAAACATCACAGGATGAATATCAGTTCATAACCAGCAAGAATGCTAGTGGCAGTATAAATCTCATAGGCAAAAACTCTTTGAAGCTCAGAAATTGGGCTGCATTCATGATGAAAACCTTGAACTTCAGATGACTCTAATAAATTACATTAAAAAAGGAAAAGAAAATAGAAAAAACTTATAGCTTCAGAATAGAACTGACAAAGAAAGAACTCTAAGAGGATACAAATAATGAATCCAAAGACCATATGAATAGAGATTTTGTGGTATATGCTAAAGCCTATCTGCAAAGAATGATGGAAGAACAACTGTCCCAGTAAAGGTCAAAGAACTGAATGAATGTTCATGATTACCAGTAGCACTGAGGCTGACTGATTTAAACCCAAAGGGATCATCACAAAGACACAGGTATAAAACAGGTTACGTCAGAGGAGAACATCATATGAGTCTTTTAACAAAAATCATGGGGCAGCACCTGTGGCTCAAAGGAGTAGGGCGCCGATCCCATATGCCGGAGGTGGTGGGTTCAAACCCAGTGCCGGCCAAAAACTGCAAATAAATAAATAAATAAAACATCGTACAACAAAAGCCTTTAAAATGTGCATACTCTGTTAACACAGTAACTTTTCTTCTAAGAATTTTTCAGAAATAAATAATTATAGACATGGGCAGGGATGTGTATCAAAGTACTGTTTATAATAGTAAAAACCTGGAAATAGCTTATATATCTAATAGAAAGAGTTAACTAAGTGTAACATAATGGAACTTTTAACAATCACTAAAAATGATGTGATAGATATAAATTTAATTGATTTGTTAAAATGCTCATGCTATACTGAGTAACAACAGCCACATAATTTACAGAACAATCCCGTCTGGATTTAAAAAAGCGGGGTGGGATGTTTCTCATCTTTGCAAAGTTTTTTTTTTTTTTTTTTTTTTGAGACAGAGCCTCAAGCTGTCCCCCTGGGTAGAGTGCTGTGGCATTACAGCTCACAGCAACCTCCAACTCCTGGGCTCAAGCGAGTCTCCTGCCTCCGCCTCCCAAGTAGCTAGGACCACAGGCGCCCGCCACAACGCCTGGCTATTTTTTGGTTGCAGCCATCATTGTTGTTTGGCGGGTCCGGGCTGGGATTCGAACCCGCCACCTTAGGTGTACATGGCTGGCGCCTTAGCCAGTTGAGCTATAGGCGCCAAGCCTGCAAAGTTTAATGTTTTAAAACTGACACAACCTAATGTTTATGAAAGTGCAGCCCTCAGATACACGGTTAGTGTAGACTGCAAAATGACTTAATATTCCAGAAGGCAATTTAGCAACATGTATCAAAAGTCTTTAAAAATAAATCATTCTGGCTCGGCACCTATAGCTCAACTGGCTAAGGCGCCAGCCACGTACACCTAAGGTGGTGGGTTCGAATGCAGCCCGGGCCCGCCAAACAACAATGATGGCTGCAACCAAAAAAAATAGCCGGGCATTGTGGCGGGCGCCTGTGGTCCCAGCTACTTGGGAGGCAGAGGCAGGAGACTCGCTTGAGCCCAGGAGTTGGAGGTTGCTGTGAGCTGTAATGCCACGGCACTCTACCCAGGGGGACAGCTTGAGGCTCTGTCTTAAAAAAAAAAATCATTCTAAGTCTAATTTACACTGTAGGAATTTATCCTACAGAACTCACTTCAATGGACACAAAGATAAGGTGTTTACCACACAGTCATTTGCAATAGAGGGAAAGCACAGACGAACTATCAACTGGCAGGGAATTAATTAAACTACTATGCCTCAGTATAATAGAGTACTATATGATACATTATTAAATTAAAAAAAAAAAGAATTACAAAATAGTAAATACACTAATTCTGTTTCTGTAATCTCTAAGTGTACATATCTATTACATAAAAAATACTTAAAGTATACATATCAAATGAACAGTGGTTATGTCTAGGTATTAAGATTATAGATAACATTGTTTTCCTGTTACTCTTTATTTTCTATAAAAAACACATGTAACTTTTATAAAAGCTTAAATGCAAAATGGGAACTATTAGACAACTATTACAACAAAGGAGCTTTTAAAAAATTTTAAGAGATTATCGTGCCAAGAACTAAGCGTAGTTAATATCAAAAAATTCACTATTTCCCATGTTAGAAATTCATTTAACTTACCTCTCAGCCATAAATCCTCACTGAGACAGTCTGCAAAGGCACATGCACCTAGGTCACCAATAAGCGTGTTGCAATTCAGTGTGATACGCCTCAGGCCCGCCATACAGTCAAGATCAGGTCTCCTATAGCGAAGACTCTCAGCCCAGGTTTCTTCATGCCTTCTTATGGTCTGATACTTCAAAGATTTAATAAGATAAAATTAAGAGCCTTGAAAAAGCAAACAGGAACACTAAAAGTAACTAAATATGGCTGATTATGTCGGAGCTTTATACATACACATCCAGGGTGTATATCACAGGAGAGTCAACTGGAGAGACTGAGTAGACAGCAGATTCTGAGTAGTCTACGAGTCTAGTAACCCAGATCCTAGTCTGCCACTGATTAGTTGTGTGACTCTAACCTGCTGCTGATTATTTATGTAAACCAACCATCTAACCTACAAATAAGAATTTTTGTAAAAAATTCTAATGCTTCTAATCTTATCATTACTGACCTCTTAAATTCTATCATGTTGAAAATTTGATTAGGCATGCTACTAGTAAACATTTTTTGACATGTATCTTATCAATAAATTATATACATGAAGTTCTATATACATATTTTATATACATTATAAACTATACAATAACAATAGGTATTTTTAAAATGATACAAAAATCAATACGCAGGTTCCAATATTTTCTTCTCTTAACCTAAGGGATCTCACATATTTCTTTGGGTACGTACATCAACTTTAGAGGCCTGAAATATGCCAAGCCAGGTTGACAGGCCTTAGGAAATTGGTGGTTTGAATTTTAACAGCAAATATTACCTTAAAGACATACTATCGGTTTTCTATATTCATAAAGTAAATTTTGGTAACGGAACACTGACTCTAAAAGAGGAAAAATACCCTTATTAACATTCTTAAACAAAAGACTCAAATCCCCACGACACTTTCAAAAGAAAATTGTGTCACTTTTTTTATTAATAATAACTACATAAAAGCAACGAGAGGAAATAACAAACACTTACAGAGTGCTTATTATATGCCAGGCACTATTAGTTCATTTAATCCTCAAAATGACTAACAAAGTAGGTTTTCTCATTACACATATTTTACAGATGAAGAAACTGAGGCACAGAAAGGTTAAATAATTTGCCTGTGGTTACAAGTTATTAAATAGGAGAGCTGGGATTTTAAACAAGGCTGTCTGGCTTCAAAATCCATGCTCTTGACCCTTATCTATCTCAGGGGTCAGTGGGTTTGCTCCCTAAAGGCCCCAAAGTAAGCATTTTCGGCTTTGTGAGTCATACAGTTTCTTTTGCAACTACTAACTTGTCCTGGTGTAGGGTGAAACCAGCCACACTTAACTATGAAAACAAGTGGACATGGCTATGTTCCAAAAATTTTATTTACAAAAATAATGGGCTAGATTTAGTCCATAAGCCTGCCTATCCCTGATCTAGTATAACATCGAATTACTAAAAAGGCTTCATATCAAATCATAAATAATTTTAGACCAAAACACAGCAGTTTTAACCACTATAAAATTAAGGCACCTTAAAAATTGTTTTTAAAACTATATTTATGTTAATATTGTGATTTTTATTAGTTTATATCTACAGCAGTTAATAAATATTTGAGTCATTTTGAGGGCTATAATAGCATACACTTTTGTTCAGTGCCATAATAAACATATTCAAAGTATGCAAAAGTATTGTTCATAATGTATTATAGTTTAAATCTCTTATTTCTAGGATTAAGTACACTACCTTTACTAAATGGCAGAACCCCAAACTGAAAATTGGTCATGTTCATACAACAAAACTGAAACTACAACCACCATATGCATCACAAGACAAACATAATTGCCATCTTCTATCAAGCTATTCAAGTGCCTCAATCACATAAAATGTTTTCATGAAAATCTGAACATAAAGTCACCTTTAAGATCTTGGCCATGTGATCCGCTCCCTGCCATGTCAGATTACAACCCGAGAAGTTGACTGTCTTAAGAGGGACAGAGCTCTTTATACCTTGACAAATAACTAAAAGGAAAAAAAGACCGCATACACAATAAGATGAAGAGCCTGTACAACCTTGATTTATTTGCTTTTCTTGTGTCTATTGCAGTTTAGAGTCGTATTCTTAAAATCAACATTCATAATCGTTCCAAGCAACTGATGGACTGGTGTATTCTAAAATACCTCGGTCATGACATGTTATTCCAGTTTATAATATAGTTTAACTCTACTTAGACACTAAAACAAAGAATCTGAACATTGCAAACTTAGTCCCAGCCATACAGTAAAGTGCTATATACTTGAAACATTTGAAATAAAAAGAAAAGTCTGAAAAGTCTATTTTCATTTCCAACAACAGGACTTGATCTCATTTATCCATCAACAATTTAGTGTTAACTATAAACCCAGAATTTTATTGGGTGCTAGCAGATTCACCTAATCTACTAGAACAATAGCACATAAAAGCCCTCAAACTTCTCTCTGTTCCCTCAAAGGCAGACTCCCTTACCCCTTCAGACCACTATTTCACACAACAAACACACACTAATTCTTAGGACCTCAATCAACAGTTACCCTCTGTGACTACTTCCATGACTCCCCAACCCCACTTTTATATACTTCTATAGCACTTTGTAAATATTTTCTATTTTGGTATATACCACAATGCATTAAAATTGTGTATGTTTTATATATTGGTTTTAACTATCTAAAATAATGATTTTCTCTTTACATTTTGCTACTGTCCTTTCCATAAATGTATCTTTCAGAAAAATTTTAAAAGATGAACAAATGTGAAAAACAAAGAATACCAAACAGTATATAGTATTTGCGTGGTCTATGGCTTATCACAACCTTAAGTAAAATTAGTTCAGAGAGTATTCAGCATGACAAGCTCTCATGGTAGATGTGAGACTGGACTAAGGTTTGAACAGGCACAGAAGGTAATCTAGATAGAAGCAGCAATAAGAAAAAGGAACAGACAGGAATTAACACGGCATGTAGGAAACCGGTCTGATGGCAATAGAGTTAATTAAGATTTAAACTCACTTTCTAAACCTCCATCTCCAATTGGACAATTTGCAAGAGACAGGTGCACCAAAGAAGCCGATTTATTCAATCCCTTTAATGAGGGGAAAAAGTTAAAAATATATTGAGTTTTTTCCCTCCAAAAGCAACTATCAAATGTTTGCAGGCCACACTGGAGAAAGCTTACCTTTGTTAAAACAGTTAAATCTCTCTCTCTCAGAACTAGTCCATTTAGCTCCAGGTTTCTTAGCATACTTGATACACTTAAACAGCCTTTAAGAGCTTTACATAACTGGAAGGTCACATCTTTGAATCTTATTGCAGGAACACGACTTCTGCAAACTTTATTTATGTCAGAACCTAAAGCAAAGTTATTGTAAAATTAGTGATTTCAATCATACAGTTTATCATGAAAAAGCTGCTGCTCTGTGCTAAGACACAATTCTTTTAAGGTGGGATACATGTAAATTCAAGCCATAGAGATACACACAAATTATATAGAGAGAGGTACTTTTGAAAACAAGGAAGTTACACCTAATGGATGGCTTTAAGGCTACCCTGAAGTTGACTATAGGAAAAAACCAGGATGACTACATGGGGTGGAGTAACAGCACTAACAATAGAGGGAGCAGCACATACAAAGGTATCCAAGCCTGACATCTGCAGGGCACAGCAAATACTGCAGGTGGAGAAGACTAAAGCCCAGAGAATTGGGAAGAGTCAGGAAATCAAAGTAGGGAGGCTGAAGCAAGCATGGGAGAGTTGGCTTTTATCTCACAGGTGATGAGGACCAGGGCTACTACTGGCACATAAAGGGTGCCCCTAGCAGGTCAGAAAAACTTTGCTGCAGTACCAAATAAAGGGAATAATTAGAAAATGCACTCCTTCTTCAGGGCCAACTAACCCCAGGAGGCCTGGCAGGACACAGCTCAGATATCAGTGCCTCTGTGCAGATCACAAGCTGTGCAAACAATACACACTGGTCCCATGAGGGCATGTCACCTAGAGCATATCTTTTCATTTCAGAAAGACCACTGGAACTAAATTAGGCAGATGAATGGAGAAAATTCGAGTTCAGAGGCAGCATAACCAGCTAGGAACATCTGCAATAGTCCAGGCAAAATGACAATATTTAGGAGGTTAAAATCTACAATCTACACCCACTGGATGCAAGACATAAAGAAGGTTCAGTGAAAAGGATCTGAAGAGAAACGGTCTGTGACACATTTTTCTCACATTCAGTGTAAAATACTAGGCAAGATCAAGTACTCTAGCCTTCACTCTGAAGTTCCTCCTAACTTTAACTTATGGACAGTCCTATGACGAGTGATCAGGGTTTTTTTTTTTTTTTTTTAATAAATCAAAAATTATTTCCTTTCCTAATTCTTCACACCCTCTCTCTCATCTTAAAATAAATATATTCAAGACTATACATTGAAAAAGCACCTTTTAGACATACAATTTTCTACATCTTCTTTGCGGGTAACCTGAGGTGCCTTCTATGTCTTCTAAGCTCAAATATGCATATCTTGGGCCCAGACCTGCCTAGCAGACACACTGAGATGCCCTACAAGCCCCTCTTAAAATATAAAAGATTGAGACCCTCTTTCCATCCCCAATCCCTTCCAGCTCTGCTGCATCTCATGCAAGGATGCTGCCCTCCCTTGTCTAACTGGTTACCAAGGCCCATCCATTCTCTTAGATACGTGAAATCTAGCCCTTCTTTTCCATTTCTTAATCTGGGCCATCAGATTACAAAAATCCATCCCCCTCCCAATTTTAATTTGTCCTGTATATGGAAGTCAGAATGAGTTCCTATGGAAAGTCCATCTTATCATCCATCAATGATTCTCAAACTTCATGATAAACATCAAACTCCCTGACAAAACAAACAAGGACACTTCCTATTTGACCCTCACTAGGTTTCCAGCCTCAGCTCTCTCCACTCCTTCTCAAACCCTAAATTCCAGTCCTATGGCTCAGCCTGCCATACTGTCCTAGTTCCAAGATTTTTGCACAAACTGCTCCCTCCTGTTATCTGGCTAGCTGCTACAAAAGGTGCCTCTATTGTGTACAAAATGCTATGCTACGTGCTAGAAGGAATAAAAATCATTTTCTCCTATGTCATGATTTACCTAATATGTTTTCCAAATAATCAGGGTGCTTGAATCCCTAATTATATCACCTTACACGTGTAAAACGTGTTATCTTTGTAAAGCACCCTTGAAAATTCTTAGAGACACATTTCAAAAAGTAGACAAAGGCTGGATATTCCTTAGTTCTCAGGCAAATAAAGTTATCCAGTAAAATAGGTAATATTTGTTGAATGTTTAATGTCATCCCAAATTGTGCTAAGAGCCACAACAAGCATCATTTTCTCTGAGAATCCTTACAATCATCGTAGAAATTAACACAGACATAGAAGATTTCATGAACGACTGAGGAGGTTCACTCAGCCGTTCATACAGCCCTTACTGAGTGTAGTGTCCATTTTTTGGTTGCAGCCGTCATTGTTGTTTGGTGGGCCCGGGCTGGATTCGAACCTGCCAGCTCAGGTGTATGTGGCTAGCGGCACAGCCGCTTGAGCCACAGGTGCCAAGCTCTGTAGTGCCCTTTTTTAAAAAAAAAAAAAAAAAAAAAAAAAAAAAGAAATTCTCACCAATATCTCTCTTTTGCTCGGATCAATCAGTAAACCCCTTTACAAACCATATAAGGTTGGGCCCTGTTAGTAAGCCCACGTTACGGTTGAGAACACTACGGCCCGGAGACCTTGAGTGAATTGCCAAGGGTCCCCTTGCTAGTAAGTGTTCCAAGCCTCAAGCCCCAAACCTCGTCTACTGCACACAGCCCGGCGTTCGGCGCCTGATGTTAGGGCCCAGGCTCCACCTTGGACCTGCCCAAAACCCACTCAGCCGCACCGACCCAGAGACGCGGGAAGCGGGAACTACAAACCTACGTCTCCAAGCCACGGCTGGAAGAAGCTCTTGATAGAGATCCAGGGCAGATCTTTATTAATTTTGAGAGTGCTCAGGAGAGGCGCCCAGTCCACCATGCGGAGGCGGTCGGCATTGAAGTCCAGCACGCCCTCCCGGAGACAGGCGCGCACTGCGGGGAGCGGCACCGAGTCCTGCAGCGCGCACAGATACTCATAGTGCGAGAAGAAGTCCGTCGCGTTGTCGCGGCGCAGCTTCACCGAGTCGAACATGGCCAGAGGGCGACCTCGGGGGATGCCCGGCGCGAGAGACGACGCCCCCACGCCTGAGGAGCCTCGGGTCGCCGCCAGGCCACTCCGGCACCCACGGCCAAGCGGCGGCGGCTGCCAGGCCAGAGGACGCAAGCCAGGGATCCCAGGCGAGGCCGGCCCCTCAACGCCACGCTCCCGCGCGGCTTCCCGCCCAGCAGCCCCAGCCGTTGGCTTCAACCCCGTAGCGCCCTGGGGGCGGGGCTGCGGGTCTCCAAGGGCGGGCGCTGGCGTGGGGCGGAGCGCAAAACGTCAGCACGCTCGCCGTGCGCCAGTACGCAGACCCCGCGTCCATAGGCGGGCGGGGGCGCGGGACTGCGGGCTGGGACTCGACTTTAGGTTTGGAGGAGGGTTTACTGATCGTTCCCAGGGAAAGTGAGATATTGACGTGACAATTTCTTTTTTTAAAAAAACAGAGACTACACGTAATAAGGGAAGTATGAACGGCTCTAGGAACCTCCTCTGTCGTTCACGAAATCTTCTATGTCTTTGTTAATTTCTACAAATAACAATTTCCGTAGTTTCTGTGTAGCCTCATACGGTTGTTGGCAAATGGTAGAGGTACAATAAATCAGGACTTTATTGTGTTTGCTATGAATCCCTTTGTTTTGTCTGTTGATGATGTTTGCTAACCCCCTGGTAACGAGTACTTTGTGTCCTAGGCATTATTTTAAGCACTGTGAGTATGAAATCATTTCATTTTCTTAACATCTCCGCAAGGAATCTACTACTGTATTCCACTTTACTAACAGGGAAACTAAGGAACGTGGAAGTTGAGTAACATACAGCTAAGTGTAAGAACTAAGAGATGATAATCCTCTGGTCAAGCCTTAGACATTGTCTCTACAGCATTCCTCTTCCACCCACTGTATTCTGGGTACCTCAACTTACTACCAACACACACGTGTGCTGAAGTGTACTAAAATCCCCTAGTTATGGTCAACAATGACTTTTATGTGAACCGTGCCCAAATTATAACACAGTAAACGCTGGTACCTCCACAAACCACCTTAAGAAATGAAACCATACCTTTTCTGTTAAAGAGTCCTGTGTAACCATTCTCCCAATCACAATCCTGGGATCACTGCTCTTCTGAACTTGGTATTTATCATTACAATGTGTGTCTTTATATTTCTGTTACATATGTAAGTATGCAGCACATGATATTTAATTTTGTTTTCATTGGCTACTTTGTTATCTTTGCTAAATTCATCCATGTCGATATGTCCTGCTCTAGTTTGCTTTTCCTACTGTATAGGATTTCCATGTAGGAACATACAATAATGTATCTGTTTTTTCTGTTGATGGAAATTTAAATTGTTTCTCATTTTCACTATGATTTCTCAGTTGCTATATCCATCTTTTTTAGTCTCTAGCACCATTTTTTTTTTAATTTTTTTTTGAGACAGAGCCTCAAGCTGTCCCCCTGGGTAGAGTGCCGGGACATTACAGCTCACAGCAACCTCCAACTCCTGGGCTCAAGCGAGTCTCCTGCCTCCGCCTCCCAAGTAGCTGGGACCACAGGCGCCCACCACAACGCCCGGCTATTTTTTTTTTGGTTGCAGCCGTCATTGTTGTTTGGCGGGTCCGGGCTGGGGATTCGAACTCGCCACCTTAGGTGTACGTGGCTGGCGCCTTAGCCGGTTGAGCTATAGGCGCGGAGCCTCTAGCACCATTTAATATAGTTGTCCATTACCTTCTTAAAATTCCCTCCTCCCTGTTTTCCATGAAGCTGTCTGATGTTTTTATGCCTCTAATAATTCCTTCTTCTCAATCTCACTCTTGGGCTTCTTTTACTTACCTATTCTAAATGCTAGCATTCTTCATGTTTCCATCCTTAGCTTCCACCCTTTCCAACATTTTATAGTATCTCTGGGTGATCTTATCTTCTGCTCAGGCTTACTTTCCCCCTCTAGGCAGATGATTTCTAATAAAGACAGATTTCTCCATATATCAGATTGGCTCCTGGAAAGCCAAAGATTTCTCATTGCCTTCAGCATCGGATCTACATTCCTTGGCTTGAAATATAGGCTGCTTCATAATTTGCCTATCTCTGCTGTCTTATTTCTTGCTAGATTCTTCTTTGTATCTCTCCTCTAGGCATATGAAACTGCTTGATGTGTCTTGAGGTTCTGTCTTTCCTGCCTGGGCCTTTACACAGGCCCAGGAGTACCTTTATTTAATGGGCCAACTTCCAATTTTTTCCCAGTCTTGGTTTAGAGGCACCTTTCTTGGGAAGCCTTTTCCTCCTAACCCTCTCTTCTCCTCTCCTGCTTGTTTAGTGCCTCATTGCTCTACTCCCTGACATCCCTGTATATAATACTTGGTTTTCCTTCCACAATCTCTAACCCCTCCAAAGGTAAGGACTAGGTCTCATTCATGCTTATATTTCCCATACCAGGCACTGTGTTGGTACAGAGGAAGTGTTGAATAATGACTGATCATTGAAACATTCTCCTCTATTCTCCCTATAAGATATTAGCACCTTGGGTGGTGCCTGTGGCTCAAAGGAGTAGGGCGTCGGCCCCATATGCCAGAGGTGGTGGGTTCAAACCCAGCCCTGGCCAAAAACAGCAAAAAAAAAAAAAAAGAAAAAAAAAAGATATTAGCACCTTGTGGCTGCTGCCTATAATCTAGCCTAGTCTTCCCTTCCAACTCAGGGAAGACTTCATTGTATTAATTAATCATTTAACAAATTAACTTAACACTTACTTTCTTAAGTTTACTTAATTTCAGTGTGGCAAGATTTCTTTCATATCTTCCCTGATAATCTCCTCTCTACTTCAGTTAAATTATGGCTTAATAATGGCTATAATTCTTTTTTCATCATCTGGTGGGTTCACCAACATGCTTCCCTAAACACAGTGAATAAAAACTGCCTCTCCACACCTCTGGGATCCTCTGACATGCCACGCTCATCCCTGACCAAGACAAAATGCCTGGGCTTCACTGCAGGTACGTGACTTGGGAGGGACATGCTACTGGGTGGTAAGAGAGATGGGGCTCCTCCTTCAGGGGGTCTGGTGAGTGACTGACTAGAATACAGTTAAATAGTGTCACTTAACCCTTATTAACTGCACTTTACTCCCAGTCAATCCAGACAACATTATAGCCAGACTTCCTAGCCAGCTTACCTCCCCACTGAACCATAGTGCTAATTTCTGCTCACCTCTAACATTCATCCTCTCTGTGCTTGCTTCCAGAGCAGTGTTTCATTGGGTATAGTCACCGAGCAATGTCAACCTGGCCAACAGCATAAGCTTTCTTATTTTAACTGAAATTTCTGTTTCCTTCCATATGGATGTTCACAGTGGCTGTTCCAAATCTTCTCCACTCTTCGTGTTGCCACTACACTCCATTTTATGCCTCTGCTCTCTCACCTAAAAAGGAGATACCTTATTTTACCAAAAAAAACAAGATTTGGAACACACATGTCCTTGTCATCTTTCTTCTAACCATAGCTGCCTTCCAAGGCATACTCCACAATGCAGCCACAGCCACCTCCTCTTCTCATCCTCTGTAACTTCTCATTGTTGTAAGAATAAAGACAGAAGTCATGATCGTCTAAAATAGTGTAGCACTCAAGGGTAAAGTCCACAGACTGGCTGCTGGTTGAAAAGTTACTGTTCTTGAAAGATAGGGAGTTTGCTTTGGAATGTAAATCATACCTGTACTAAATGTGCTATTTAGATCAGTAAGGTTTTTTTTTTTTTCTAAACTAGACTTTCTTGATGAAAGAGACAGTGTGGGCCAGCAATGGCTCATGCCTACAATGCCAGCACTTTGAGAGGCCAAGGTGAAAGGATTGCTTGAGACCAGTAGTTGAAGATCAGCCTGGGTGACATAGCAAGACCCTGTCTTTAAAAAAAAAAAAAAAAAAATTGTTTTCAATTAGCCAGGAGTAGTGGCACACATCTGAGGCAGGAGGATTGCTTGAGCCCAGGAGTTCAAATTGTATTGAGCTGTGATAAGGACAGAGTGAAGAAAGGAAGGAAGGAGGGAGGGGAGAAGGAAGGAAAGCAAAGGAAGAAGCAGTGTGCTGAGTTACGTTCTAACATAAGCTTCTTATCTGACTGTGCACTAGCTCTTTGAGTAGCACCAGTCTACAGGGCTCTGCATCCCCTGGACGGAGTTTGGTCTCTGCAGCCTCATCTTGTGCTCTAGTCCTTCCATTCTCAGTAGCACAGCCCACAGTGGCTTCCTTTCAGGCCTGCAGACTGACAGTGGTCACTGCACATCTTCCCAGTCTGCATGAAAGGTTCTTCCCTTCAATCTGTACCTAATTAACACCTCATCATCCTTCTCATCTCAGTTGACGTGTCACTTCATCCACTAAGCATTTTTTTTCCTCCCTGACTCATTAGCTCTCTTGTCACACCATAGAGAATGTTGATAGCCTTCATTATAGCTCCCATTCACTTAAAGACAAATGTTAACCATACGGCCCATGAGGAAGGGATCATGTCTGTTTGCTTACTTTTGCATTCCTACTAACCAGTATAGTTCCTGACAATATTTATTAAATGAAAAAATGAATGTATCCAACCAATGACCCAGACCTGACAACTTACCCTTTATAGTATCTCTGATATTATTTTTTGCTTCTGTTTGCATTGCCATTACTTCACTTTCATCATTTATTGTTTTACACCTGGATTGCACTTATTGCTCCAGAGAATAGCATGCCTTCCTATATTCAGGTTCTCCCTATGTCGCTATTACCTCACACAAGGTCCTTTGATTATGCCATTGATCTATTGCAAAACCTTCTGTGACACCCATTGCTAACAGAATATAGCCCAAAGTCTAAAGATTGACATTCAAGACCCTCTGGAATCTGAACTTTAGTCTGACTTTCCAGCCTTTTGTATTTCATGGGACTAATTGTCTCTCCATCCTCGACCTTCAGCTCTGCTTATTATATTATACATTCTTCTAGTCACTACCTTTATGCATCCTTCTTTGGGAAAACTTCACTG